TACAAGAGGAGCTTATACACACAGTGAAGAGGAGGTGATGTCCGACTGCTAGGTCTCCCTGAGCAGCCACATTGCTGTGCATTCAGTTAAGATTGTGGCAGTGTCCGACAGTTGTTTGTAAAGTCAGGACCATTGGATAACAACAGGTTTCCTTATTTTCTCCCAGCCCCCATTTTTGTACTGCTGGGTAGTATTTATTTTGAATGGGCCCATGGTTTCCTTTTTACTGTGATGCCAACTCAGCATCTTAGTCTTCCTGTTTTTACCATTTTAGCACATTGAAACTGCCTTTCAGTTAAAAAAAGAAGAAAAAACACCTCATAAGACGTGTGTGCTTTGGGGCTGGAGAGATGGTCCAGAGGTTAAGAACACTTACTGCTCTTTCAGAGGACTTGGGTTGATTCCCAGTACCCACATGATGACTAACAACTGCCTGTAACTCCATTCCCAGGGCATATAAGGCTGTTTTTTGACCTCCACAGGCATCAGGTGTACATGTGGTACACTGACATGCATTCAGGCAAAAGCTCATACCTGTGAAATAAAAGCAAACCTTTAAAAAGTTTTTAAAAATCCATACATCTTTTTTCTATACTCTTCCTCACAATCCTCACATAATATAAATTATGAACCGTGTAAGAATGCCAACATCTGGCTATTTTGATTGATTTTTAATGTTTAAAATGATAATTTTAAATGGTCTTCCCTAGCAACTGTATACTGTTCCAGATGCTCTCAGACATCCAGCATCCTGGATATTGGATGCTGTGGCTCTTGTTTTACAGATGTCTCATCTCCTAATTTCCACAGCTTTCCTGAGTGACAGAGCCTAGTACTCCAGTGTGAGTTTCTGAAGGAATTGCTCAGCAGTCAGTGTGACCCTGCTTCCCTGTAGGAATACTGTCTGTCTGTCTGTCTGTCTGTCAACCCTCTCCCTTGAGAAGGCCCAGTCACCCAATTCCTCTTTGCTTTTTTGAGGGCTCATTTCCCCTGCAATGTATGGGTTAGATTTCTAGAATCTTGTGTTACAGCATCATCTAATATATCATTTTATCTTGGGCAAATAAAAATACACACATGCACATACATCCATATGAGTTCATTTGAGAGCACTTTTGATGTAGTCGCCATCTTTTGAGTTTGTGTTACAACGTAAACATTTTTGTACGTGTGTGTTTACAGGCCGCAGTATGGTGTGGAGGTCAGAGGCTAGCTCTGTGGGGGCGTCACTTCTCTCCTTCCAGCCTGTGGTCCTGGGGTCAAACTCAGGTTCTTTCTCGCTTATGCAGCAAGTGCTTTATCCACTGACCCGTCTCACCAGCCCGGTTACCGCTCTCTGAATCTGTGTTTGGCCTTTCAAAGGCTTGTTATCTGTGTGCTGCTCTCCAGTCTCCCCATCGCCCTTCGCCCTTGGCATCTTTATCTCTCCTCATTTTTTTTTTCTTTGACGAAGAGCTTGCCTTGGTTTATCCAGGGTTTTTATCCTTTCTTCTTTCTCATTGTCATAAGTTACCGTTTTATTTTGGAGGCTTGAGCCCGGACTGTCCCTTGGTTGATGACTCAGGTAGTTGAACACTCAGGAACCATTGGTTCCTACCGCCATTTGGCCATCCTAGTGCACACTTGGTTGTACGGGGTGGCCGGGGTGCGGGGACAGGTGTGCATGGCATACACATGTATGCATTGTGCCTAAATAATGCTTCATTTCTTTGTATTAATTTTTGGTGGTTTTCTGTCTTGAAGGTTATAGAACTTCCAAACAACAGAGTTTTCAGTTCTAGGATTGGACATAAGAAAGCTGTGCGGCACATCCAGTTCACAGCTGATGGGAAGACCCTGATTTCAAGTTCTGAGGATTCTGTAATTCAGGTGAGAGGATGAATGAACTAACATCTGTACCGTTAGAGGGAGGAACAAAGAACACTTCTGTATCAGAAGAACACTGTGCTAAAGCTTGCTCACTTAAACCTACTGTTTTGGGTGTACATTCCCACTGTACACGTAGGGTTTATAGAGTCCATTTATGTTTCATATATTTTGTGGGTGTGGCATGGTGGCAGTTCACTGAGCAGGTTGTTTCTTCTGTGTTAAGTATTCATTGGAATCCTTCCTGTCTTGATATTCACAGTTACATGAGTAAATACATTTTTGCCACTTTTATCTAATTTATTCTCATGACTGAATTCTGACTTGAATGCTTTGTTCTTTTCCTGAGACAAGGCCTTGCTATGGAGAACAAACGGCCTAGAACTTGCTTTGTGCAGACCAGGCTGTCTTTGAACTTTCAGCAATCCTCCCGCCTCTGCCATGTGGGTGCTGGGGTTGTAGACATGTACCACCATGCCCAGCTCCAATTTATACGATCTTATTAGAATCATATTTATTGTGGTGATAAACTTTTGCCAAAAGAAAATTCACTTTTATTAAGTTCTAGTACACATACTTCAGCACTACTGTGGTAGGACAAGGCTTGCTGGGGAGGTTAGACCTCCCCCATTTCTTACTCTTCAGAACTACCGTAACTGGTGGCTTTTAGATATTTAGGTATTTTTAGATCTTTCGGATCTTGTCTTTGATGTTTACCTTCATGCCTCCTCCATATGGCATGCTTGCAGTGCTGTTTCTAATTCTCCACGTGGGGAATTGCTGACTTCCCAATAGTGAGGACATAGCAGTTGTCCTCCTTTCCTGTCTCCAGCACATGTGCATGTGTGCACCCAGAGCCGTTGATCAGACCCGCCATCCCTGCAGCTCTGAGTGCTGTCACTGTGACTGAGCAGACTGTACTAAAGTGTGTTAGGAGTGCAATGCCTGTCCTTGTTTTCCTCAGAATAGGCTCTTACTGTGGAGCCAGGGTGTCCTGGAACTCCCTATGTGCTGGGATTATAGGCATGCCCCACCACGCCTCATGGTTGCAGTTCCTATCGTAATAGAGTTTAGAAAAATGTAGTCTTTGATTACGTGTGGCTGGAAATTATTTCACCTTCAAACTTTAAAGATATTGCTTCATTTTCCCCCCTAAGTTCCACAATTTATATTGAGAAATCTAAAGTCATTCTGATTTTTTTGTTTGTCATTGAGACAGGATCTCACTATGTAGCTCTGCCAGGCCTAGAACTTGCTCTGTAGACCAGGCTGGCCTTAAATTCGCAGAATCCACCTGCCCCTGTCTCCCAGTGCTGGGATTAAAGGCGTGCACCATCATTCTAGGTTTTAAATCTTTCTGGAAGATTTCAAAGTCTTCTCTGTGGCCTCAGAATTTTGAAATTTCGTGATGATGTGCCTTCCATTATTTTGTTCATTTTGGTAGTTTCTTTCAAGGAAACTTATTCTTAAATTCAGACTTTTCTTGAATTATTTCTTCTTTCCCCATTTCCTTTTCTGGTCCAATCTGATTCTCTTTTTTGTAAAGCCCATTATGTATATATTGGTTCCCAGCCAGTCCTTGTGTCCTGGGTTATTGTGGTTGTAAGTTTTCTCTGGTCCTGCCCAGCTCCAATGGCCCCGCAGTCCCACAGCTGCTTGGACCCAAATAAACACACAGAGGCTTAGATTATTTACAAATGATATGGCCTAGTGGCTCAGGCTTCTTGCTGGGTAGCTCTTATATCTTAAATTAACCCATTTCTGTAAATCTATACTTTCCTGAGGCTCATGGCTTACGGGTACCTTTACATCTTGTTTCTTCTGGTGGCGGCTAGCAGCGCCTTCTCTGCTCTGTCTTTCCCCTCTCTCTATTGATAGAATGTCCCGCCTAACCTTATTCTGCCTCACCATTGGCCAAATAGCTTTATTCATCAACCAATCAGAGCAACACATATTCACAGCATACAGAACGACATCACCCATCAGTTTATTGTTTGAGGAAGGGTCCTTTATAGCCCAGGCTGGACTTGGACTTATCACATAGCTGAGGATGACCTTTCAGATTCTTCTGCCTCCATTTCCTGGAGTTAGATATGTGCCACAACACTTGGAGTCTTCGTCCTCCTCCCCTAGCCCATTTACACTCTCTACACTGTGTTCTGTATTCTAGAATTTTCTTCAGTTTTTACATTTTTTAATGCTTAAGAATTCCTTTTTTTTTTTAAATTAGATAGGGCTCACTAGGCAGCTCAGGCTCACTTTAGTCTTGTTATGTAGCTGAGGTGGGGTTTGACCTCAGAAAGACCCACCTGCCTCTGCCTCTTGAGCACTGGGGTAAAGGCATGCACCACCACTCCCCATCCTAGTTAGTTCTACTTTTGGGTCATACTTCTGGTTTTACTTAGCACATATTTCTTGTGTTGGCAACATTTAACTACGCCATTAAGAACTATTTTTTTTTTTTAAACCAATCTTGCTATGTTCTGTCTTTGTGAAGATGTAGGATTGGAATGAAATTTGGCTTCAATACAGAAACTTTATTATAAGCTCCCATGATGCTTCTTTATTAGCTGTGAAACTCATATAATAGTCATATTTCTTCCTCTCCAGATGTCTTTGAAATGAGGGAAACTTAACTACATCAGATAAATCCCGTTGGGACATTGTATGCGGAGTGAACTTAAATTCATAAGATTTTATGACCTGTTTGTAGATATTCTCAGCCAGAGGGAGAAAGAATTTTTGGAATTAGAGTTATTTTTAGAAATACAAGTTGTATTTCATCTTTTTCTGGACTGCTCAGAATGGTTTTTACATATACAGGGCTTTTAAAAGATGTCTGTTTTATGTGGGTGCTCACACTCAAGCGTGTCATGGAGTCATGTGAGCCCATGTGGAGGTCAGAGTACAATGTGCAGGAAATGGTTCTCTTCTATCATGTGGATTCCAGGGATGCAGCTCAGACTGTGAGCCTTAAAACATATGGGCTACTGCGGGTGTGGTGCTACACACCATTAATCCAAGCATTTGGCAAGCGGAGACAGGGGGATCTCTGTAAGTTCAAGGCCAGCCCGGTCTACAAGGTGAGTTCCAAGATAGCTGGGAATACATAGACCTTCTCTTAAAAAAAAAAAAAAAAAATGGACTGCTTCATGAATTTGTATGCCATTTTTGCACAGGGTCCATGCTAATCTTCTCTGTGTAGTTCTGATTTAGATTGTGTGCTGCCAAAGCAAGCATTTACAGGGTAGTAATGGTTCCTATAATGGAACGCTTTGTAGGTATTTCTAAGAAATGTTGGGTTGAGTTTTTTTTGTGTGGGTGTGGGTGTGGGTGTGGGTGTGTGTCATGATCTTTTAAGTCTGATGTCATGTAGCTCATGTTGGTCTTGAACTCACTATGTAACCAAGGCTGGCCTTGAACTCTTGATCCTTCTGCCTCTTCTGCCCAAGTTCTGGGAATATGGTGTGTGCCGCCATACCTGGCTTTGTTTTAGTAAATGACTGAATGGAGTTTTGTATTCCCAGCCTGAGACAGGTTTAGACAATCTCTGTCAAGTTTAAGTCATTGCTAGAAGTAGAAGAATAACCCCACCTGAACATTGTGGGAACTGAGTCCTGTTTTGGTAGCTTTTGACTCTTTACCTTGAGGTAAATGAAGTGCATGTATTAGCTATGCCTACCTGATCCATAAAAATATGTTGGTTCTCACAGGTATAAGAAATCTAGTATTTATTTACTTACTACTGTTTTTGTGTCTTTCTGTTGGGTCTTGATGTATAGTCCGGGTTGGCTTCAGACCTGTGATCTTCCTCGACCTTCCCCAGTGCTCAGATTATAGGCGTGCCCAGCCAGCTTTATTTTTATTTATTTATTTTTTTTTTGTTTAGTTTTTTTGAGACAGGGTTTCTCTGTGTAGCTTTGGAGCCTGTCCTTGAACTCACTTGGTAGCCCAGGCTGGCCTCAAACTCACAGAGATCCACCTGCCTCTGCCTCCGGAGTGCTGGGATTAAAGGCGTGCGCCACCCCCCCCACCCCCGCCAGCTTTTTTTTTAAAATTGAATTTTATTTCAGTAGTTGAACAAGTTCTATGGTGTGTATACTCACACAAGTTATTGATAATGGTAGACGTCCCTAATTCAACTTCAGTGCCGTTGCACAATGCTAGTGCAACCTTGTCTGTTATACCAAGGTGATTCACTTAACACAGTATGTGTGAGTCCAGTGAAAAGCACCACGTTGTTGCCTTGTCAGACAGTGTCTTTGAGACAGCTACTAATCTCCTTCGCGGGCTCTTTGTCGCGCATGCTCAGGAAGGCTCTGGTTTCCAGAGTAGAGAGCAGCAGCAGGAAAAACCCGGTCAGGACTGGATGCACTTTGAATTAGGCACGGCCTAGACTGTTAAGATGGGAAGAGTGTGTGACGGGCAGCCATTGGTCCTCAAGTCTGCTCAACCCAGAAGGAAAGGAGGGAGCCAGGACATTCCAGTGGAAATGGCTTAGGGGTAGGCCTTGCCATACAGGGCGCCATGACCTCCTGGTATGATTTGGGGAGCCCGAAAAGTCCATGTCACTGCACCTTACCACAGTCCCCAGCGTGTGTCATTGAGTTCTTAGAATGCTGAAATTTCTGACCCACCCATGCTCCTTTAGAACACGGTCACTTCTAGCACCTCCCCCGCAGTTACTCGCTGGCACACAGAGAGCCTAATCCTGGGGATCCCGATTCTTTGAATGAATGTCCCCAGCTGGAAGACAGGAAGAGATAGATCAGGAGCCAAGGCCTGGTGGGAAGATGGCTGCTGTGTGTGGCAGAGACTAAAGGAAGGTGCTGTGGATATCACTCTATATAAATAAAACACTGATGGCCAGTGACCAGGCAGGAAGTATAGGCGGGACAAAGAGAGAGGAGAATTGGGGAAACAGGAAGAAGGGGGAGAGACACTGCAGCCACCACCAACAAGCAGCATGTAAAGACTCTGGTAAGCCACCAGCCACGTGGCAAGGTATAGATTTATAAAAATGGGTTAATTTAAGATAAAAGAACAGTTAGCAAGAAGCCTGCCACGGCCATACAGTTTATAAGTGATATAAGCATCTGAGTGATTATTTTATACGTGGATTGTGGGACTGTGGGGCTTGGTGGAAGCTGGAGAGAAGCCCTCCAGCAACAGGAAGGGAAGTAAGATTCAGCATGGCTTTTATAGTTTTGCCTAGCTGGCTAGGAGAGGGCTTGAAGTTATCTCTGCACTGTTTGTCATGCACTCAGACCAGAGCCAGAATGCTGATGGTGCACATGGCCGTGGTGGTGCCCATGGTGCGCATGGCTGTGGTGGTGCCGGTGCCGGTGGTGCGCGTGCCTGTGGTGGTGCCCGATGGTGCACATGGCCGTGGTGGTGCCGATGGTGTGCATGCTGGCCCTCGGAGCTGCTGCTCTTCTGCAAGCCATCTGCTCCCCTGTGGTCACTGGACTTGGACTTGCTTTCAGTCCTTTTCCTTTTCTTTTTTCTTCTCTCATACAAGACATCCTGACCACAGCCTCCCTCCCTCCATCCCCCACCTCCCCTCTCCCTCATATCTCCTCCTCCCCCTCCCCTCCTCCTCCACTTCCTTCATGAAAGAGCAGGCCTCCCAGCAATAGCAACGGAGCGCGGCATAGCAAGATGAACTAAGTAAGACTAGGCACAAGCCCTTATATCAGGGCTGGGTGAGGAAACCCAGTAGGAAGAAAGGGGTCCTGAGCACAGGCAAGAGTCACCTCCTCTCCCACTGTTAGGAGTCCACAAAACCCCCAAGCTATACAACCTTGTGTGTGTGTATGTATGTATATATGTATGTATGTATGCATGCATGCATGCATGCAGGCCTACGCAGGCTCTGTGAATGCTGCTTCAGCCTCTGTGAGCCGCTATGAGCCCTGCTTAGTTGATTCTGTGGGTCTTTCAATACTTTTCCAACCTTTTTTTTTTTTTTTTAATTCATTCACTGCATTTGAAAAGTTCTCAATTTGTGCATCTGACTTTCTTTCTTTTTAAAAAAAATTTAGTTTTATTTTATGTGCATTGGTGTTTTGCCTGCACTTATATAGCTATATATCTATATCTATATCTATCTATATCTATATCTATATATCTGTGTGAGGGTATCAGATTCCCCAGAACAGGAGTTACAGACAGTTGTGAGCTGCCATGTGTGTGATGGGAATTGAACCCGGGTCCTCTGAAAGAGCAGTCAGTGCTGTTAATCACTGAGCCATCTCTCCAGCCACCCCTCTTTAAACTTTTAAGAAGGGTTATTTATTTTATGAGTGTTTGTCTGAATTTATGTATGTGTGATGTGTGTGTGCCTGGTGCCCTTGGAAGTCAGAAGAGGGTGTTGGATCTCCTGGAACGAGTTCCGGGTGGTTGGGAGCCTCTGTGTGTGTGCAGGGAATGGAATCTAAGTCCCCTGCAAGAGCAGCCAGTGCTCTAACTGCAGAGCTTTCTTTCCAGCTCCTTCTCCTCTCACATGCTTTGAGTGCTGGCCTCTGCCAGACCATTTTGAAGGAGTCATTGTTTTGAATTTCACAGTACTTTTACTTCAGTAGTAAAACCTTTATGTAAGATTTTTTTTCCTTTTTATGTCTTATTTCATAAATTTGTTCATGGTAGGTCCTTGTTTGATTCACATTTGCCTTTTGGAAACATGTTTGTTAAATTAAGTGAAGTCCAGAATTTAAAAACCACTAAATACTATTGCTTTGATTTAGTAATGGGCATTCTGCATATTGACAGGACATAGATGTTTCTGTTCACTGCTGTGCCTCAGATGTTCCTGTTTGCTTATTTTGTTCCAGTTGCTGGCACTGCTTCAAGTCTTCCTTGTCTCTCGTGGCTAAGAGCCTCTTGCCTAAGCTGCATGTGAAATAATAGTGCCTACCGCTGCTGCTTTTATTTGAGAGTCGCATTAGGGGCTGTCTAAGACTTTGAAGCTTGGTAACTCTACGACCCGTGTTTTCACTTCCCTGGCTCACTGGACCTTCTGGGCAGTAGGGCGAACTTCACTGGAGCCAGGGTCTGCAGACTCACCCCATGTGCAGGCTTGGGAATCTGCAGATATGTAATTGGAATAATTTCCTCTGGAAAATTTAATCAGATGGTGAGCTCACTGACATATTGTGGGTTTTTTCTATCTTGTGGTTTAATTAACTACTCTCTAAGCAACTGAAGAAAACAAATGTTATTTAGGAGAAAAAGTGTTTTGTTTTGTCCCCCCATCAAGCTAATTAGCTTCAACGTTTTCTCTCTGTAAAACACAGAGACAATGTTCTTTGGTACTTCTCTGTTTGAAATACTATGAAGATAAAAAGACTTTCGATGAGAGAATGCATACCTCTTTCCAGTGGGACATTATTGGGGGAGGTTTATGACAGACTTATTTCTTTGATATTCAGGTATGGAATTGGCAGTCGGAGGGTTATATCTTTTTGCAAGCCCATCAGGAAACAGTGAAGGACTTCAGGCTCCTGAAAAATTCAAGATTGCTTTCTTGGTCGTTTGATGGAACAGTGAAGGTAATTTGAATCCCAGATTTTTTAAATGTATTTTTTTGTTTTTTAAATTATTTTGAAAATACTCTTTAAATGTATTTTATTTTATTTTATTGTGTGTATGGCTGTCTGGCTTGTATGTATGTCTGTACACCACATTCATGGTTGGTGTTTTCAGAGGCTAGAAAAGAGCATCAGATCCTTTAGAACTGGAGTTAAATTCAGATACCTGTGAGTTGGGTGCTGACATTTGAACCCGGGTCCTCTTGAAGAGCAGTTAGGGATCTTTACTACTAGGCCATCTTTCCAGATCTGAGTACCAGATTTCAAAAGAATTTATACACACCTGTATGTATGTATGTATGTATGTATGTATGTATGTATTTTGAAATTGGATCTCATTATGTAGCCCTGGTTGGTCTGGAACTTGATATATAGACCAGGCTGTCCTTGAACTCACAGAGATCCACCTGCCTCCTGAGTGTCTGTGACTAAAGGCTTGTGCACCACCAGCCCCAGCCCCAGATTGTTCTTTTAAAGAACACATTCTGATGTTGCAGTAATTATATTGTGGCAGCTTTAAAGCCCATGAATGTAAAGTAATTAAGTGAAAAAATGTCAGCACTTTGCCTGTTTTCTGTACACTGCCGTCACCTACATCTGTTGTCTGTTTGTAAGCATTCATGCTGAAGGAAACCCAAGAGAGCAGGACA